GGATGGTGTCTGGAACAAGATTGCTTTTTTATGAATGGATTAATTTCAAAATAAGCTTTTTTGTATTTCATTAATTATAGAAGCACACGCACTAAAAAAAGATAAAGCAAAACAAATTAATATTTCTTGTAAAAAAAAAAAAGAAAAGAAAAACATAGCATGTATACAAGTGTATTTTTTTTTAAAAAAAATAGATTTATTATTCATCGTTTTGGTTATATACAGCATATAAAAGACAAAAAAAAAAGGAGGGGAAAAGGGACGTGTTGTCTACAAGATTCTAATTTTTTTTTGTTAAAAAAAAATGAAATATTAAGATATTACATATTCTATTTTAAGGGGGGAGGGCGTGGATTTTTTTATTGCTTTGGTGTATATTGTTTGTAAACCTCAGTTGCTCTGGGGCTGTTGCTGTGATTGCTGTGATTGTTGTTGTTGTTGTTGTTGCTGGCTATACATGGGCATGATGGCATTTGCACCAGGATGATGACTTGCCTGTCGCATATAAAGAGTATGATGATACGACTGTTGCTGTGCTTCTACGGGAGCGAGTGTTCTGGCCATCATGCTTCCCTGCGCAGAATCATACATGCGAATCTGAGACGACGAAGGCTGCTTTCCTGAAGCGCCTGAAAGAGGGTTCATGGAGTACATGGGTGGAGTGGTATCATTACTGATATCAGTATTTGTTGTCTGATGTGATGGCGACGGTTGCGAAGGCGACGGTTGAGAGGGCGTTTGTTGTCTTTGTGGATGCTGTTGTGATTGGGAATGCGTTTGTTGTTGTTGTTGCTGTTGTTGTTGTTGATAAGGCGGGTGCTGCAAACTTAGGGTTTGAGGTAAAGGCGTCTTGTTCACCATCGCGTTCGTTTGCAGGACAGGATGTATCGTGTTGTTTGGGTTGTTTGTTTCGTTGCCACGTACGATCGACGGATGGGAAGGATCAAAGGGGAACTGCATATCTGGGTTGAAAGAAGACGGGCTGGGAGCAGTGTTCATGTGGTATGTGTTTTGGAATTGAGGATGGACATAGCCAGAGAGTGGCGAGTCCAAAGACATGCTACCGCTATCATAGTACACAAACGATGACATCTGTGCTTGTCTTTGATGAGGTTGCCGTTGTGATTGTGCAGTAGGTGTAGTGAGTACAGGTACTGTATTTGCCGTGGGCGTGCTTGGTGTGCTGCTTGCTCTGCTATTCGGATAGGGGTGATATGGGTAGATGGGGTCAGGAGGGAGTCGATCATCCGTCGTTGGGGTTGTCATTAAGGAGCTTTCACGTCCCTTGCCTTTCTTGATCATCTTTCGCTCTGGTTCCATCATGTACGTCTGCGCATCCATCGAGAGTGTTCGCCGGCGTTGGGTTCGTAGCACCTGTGCCTCTTGAATCAGCCGTTGGTTATGTATCTTGATGTAGTACGTTTGCCTTGGCACGTCGACTGCTAAGTACCCTTTAGGCATGCTTGTTGCTGCTTGCTTTGACATCCGACGTGAATTATTTTCTTCTTCTGGCGTCGTTTCATCCGTAAAGACGGTGGGTGGTGGCAATGAACTGTCGTCGACTTGTGCTGCTTCGCTCAAGATCTGATACAACGTTGACAGCTCACCTTTGACAAACTGAGTAAGTTCCTCGTTGCCTGTTGTTAAGGCACATATCTTGCTCCAAAACTGACACAGGTCGTGTGTTCGTTCTGTCGTGTCACGTTGCTTAATCTTTTGCCGCTCCTCTGACAGACGGTTGTAGAACCGACGTTCGTTCCAGTGGATATGAGGGAACTGAGCCTGTACGCGTGTCCGAATGTCTTGAGTGGTCATACGTAGACGAGCCAGCTCGCAAATCAAGTCGGTTACTTCCTTTGGCCAGCTACGTTCAATTTCGTCCGGATGCATCAGTTCATGGTTGTGTTTGCCCGCCTCTGGGTTAAGTGATTTTCTAAATTCCCAACGCCCTTCATTTTCAAAGAGGACAACTCGCCATCGACAATCACATCGTTTTGAAGGTCTTTTTCGTTGTGGGTTTGATTTGGGGTTACGTAGTGAATCAGGAAGTCCTTCACGAGAACAGTAGACGTAAATGTTCTAGAGACATGTAAGATAAGGAGAGATGTTGTGTGTGTATACAATTTGGATATTTACTCTATGTGTGCTCGCTTCCTGTTTGACAGTAAATCCGTATTCTGCGCATAAATCTCTACAGTGTTCAATAGCTGCAGCGCTTTCACTAAAGGTTATTCCCATTAAACGTTCATAGAATGGCTCAAGCTGCTCATAAAAAACGTATCCAGTTAGTGCGTTGAATGAATTTGGTTTCAATGCTTTTTTAAACAAAAATTATGTATTTACAAATAATGCTTGTTCCTGTTGTCTTTCAGGAGTAAAGCCTTGCTGAAGTTGAGGGGCCTGTTCGTTGTTCTGTTTGGTTCTCTTTGTCATTTCGGTTGAATGAAGCAAAGAAGATTCTGAATCAGATTAGCAAAGGTTTTGAAATGGTGAATGGTGATGAAGCAGTATTTTTATTTTGTTATGTGTAAAGAAATAATGACTATAAAAGAATAAAGAAATGGGTAAGTAATGGTTTTTTTGGATATTAATTTTATATTTATTTATTCTATACACACACACGCACAAATACACATACACGCACACACACACACGCAGAGAGAGAGAGATATACTGAATAAGAGACAATAAGAGACACAGTGGGAGGTGATATATACACCAGTGATATATTCGTTGACTTTGTCTCCTTGATTAAAAGTGATTGACAGTCAAAAGAAAGAAGGGAGGATGACGGGCGATTCTTTGTGATGCCTGTTATATGCATCTTTTGATTAGCTTTTGACTAACTATTTGAAACCTCTCCAATAGTAAGCATTTGGATGTAAGGTCAGTATTTGTGTAACCACAATGCTCAGCTCTAACCTACCCCCGCTTCGGGAATCCTGACCAAGCATTGTTCTCTTTGTTGCATAGGACGATTTGATCTTTTATTAAAAAGGGAACATAGCATTTCATTATGCTTACACTCGATTTTTGGGGCACACGTGTGTATATGACAACCGATACTCACCTAAAGATCTACTTGTAGGACAAGTACGCACTTTATCACCATGACAAAAGGTACAACCGTCAAAAAGCCGAAAGTTTGACATTTTTGTCCTCTCTCTTTCTCTCACTTTCTTTCTCTCCGTCTCTCTGTTTCTCTTTTTTTTTTAAGGTTACTCGATCTTTTTTTTTTTTGATTGTTACCTCAACTCACACGATCAACATGTGGCCCCAGTCTCTGCCTTTACCTCTTACGCACCTTTTGAAAAAAAAAAAAAAGGCGGTCGGACTTTAGATGGGATATTATTGCTTTTTTTTTCATAAGTTTGGCTTAAAAAAGAGATAACTGTTCCTTGCTGTGAAAGATCTCCTAAAGTAGCAAAGAGTTGCTTAGTACAATGTTTATACTGATGAGTTTCGAACAAAATAACTTTATAAAGCCAAAGGAGGATCTTTAAATAGTGCAGCATTAGATGACATCAACAAAGTGATTGTCATTAAGCTTTGTCTGCATGCCTCTTTTGCAGGAGTTGGACAAAAGCACTAGCAAAAGAAAGACATAGTGCTTATTAAAACAAAAAGTGCTCTCCTACGATGCTATATGTGATATAAACTCATTGTAAGGCCAACATACATATGTTTTGAGCGCACCTTTGCCCCCTGACTCTGTTACTTTGAAATATAACAGCATTCAGTTAAAGTTTAGTAGAGATACCAACATCATACGTTGCTGGAGATAAAGCAATGTTTATTGGCGTATTTGTAACTCAATCATATAGTAAGAATGAGCGTATCCATCAAGGCCCGTGGCCATTCACAGTAGATTAATACCAAGCGCTTCTTTTTGTACAGTATGCTATACCTACACCTGGCATTATTTGAGTCAATAGAACGAATACTATCGTTTCGGAAAGGAGGCTAGTGAGAGTAAGAGAGCATTCAAATGAAACTTTGAAATAATGGCTTTTTTAGCTTGACAAGCTCACCAATGTCCTTTTGTACTCATAGAGTGTAGTACGTACAAGTCAATCTTCATACTTAAAACGTACGTTTGATTTATTATTTTAGAATCTAACAAAGAAAGGTTTTTCTCAGTGTTCTAGCCCTTTATCAATACTTTATATCTCAAATAAAGTGCTCCTACCATCATAGCATGATGTATATATAATATAAATAGCATAAAGAAAATGCATCCCAAAGTCAAAGCTATCAAAAGAACTATCACAGTAACAGACTATTTTCCTCATCAACACCAACAAACCAGTCCATACCTATTTATAATAGACGTCATAAAGAAGTATAGCTTACATTTTGTGATTTAAGAAATGGTCAAGGCGAATATCTGCCCCTGTCATGTGTTAGCTAATTAGGAATGTAACTGTACCACTGTTATTAGCTAGCTGCGTAGTCAAGCAAACAATGTTAAGGAAGTAGTCATATTAATCATAGTTAGTGTACTAGTATCAAACAAACAATCACATTATAAATGAAGCTACAAAGATGTTTAGCTAAGTTTGCGCATTTGCACGTATAGCATTACTGCAAATAAGCACGAGATAATAGTAAGCTTGCCTTTTTTTTTTTTTTTTTTTTTTTGAAAGACTCTGATAATATCAATGCTGTAATGCAAAGTATTAACAAGCAACTCATTTTGACACACGTCTTTTTTTTTTTAAAAAAATAAACTTGTGTGCTAGTCTTGGCCTGTATATATTCTATGAGACTTGCTCTTCAAAGCAATCCCAAAAGTTTAATGCGTTTACATCCTGGAGAGTAAGGACAGGTGCTGTCTTTTTATATGATTATGGAGCAGGAGTGTTATCCATGACAATATGAAATTCAGAGAACTGCAGCTTTTTAATGACCGAAGGGAAACGCACAAATTTGGGCTGAGTGCAATTAATTTTTTCCTTTAAAATACCCAAATGACCGTTGATGCACCTAAACTGAACCCTCTCTATGCCTATCTCGGCTTATCGCCTGAGTCTATTGACATTCAATCTTATCTCGGCACCGATTCAGCTTCTACGATCTCAACCGTCCAGCAGTACACGTACCATGCATACAAGTCGGAAGGCATCTCGCTTGGCTTTATCAAAAGTAGCGATAATTCACTCATTTTAGACTCTATTGATATCTATAACGCGCAGACCCATGACGGCTTTCAACCTTTTACACGGCCACAAGACTTACCATGTGGTCTCAAAAGAGACATGCAAGGCCATGAGATCGTTGCTTTGTTAGGTGAACCTGACAGAAAAGGAGGCGGTGGTCGAACGAGAACACCGTGTTGGATAGAATATTTGTTCAAGACAGACAGTAAGAGAGAATCAGGTATGGTCATTCAGCTTCATGGTGTCGAATGGGAAGATCGCGAAATGGGTTGGACTAGTCTTGTATTGTATTAAAATAAAAAATAAAAAATTCTGGGAATGAATAAACTTCTTTTGTTCTTTTGGTCTTGTTCTCTCTCTCTCTCGTATATACACATACACAGTAATGCCACCGTCTTCCGGTCAACAGCAGCCGAATAGAGCACAACAAGATATTCCAGACATTTTTCTTTTAGATGAACAGAAAATACAGCCGAGTGAAACAACAGAAAAACAGGAACTCTATGTCCTGCAGTGGTTGGCGCAGGTTGAAAGAGAGAGTAAAACAATAGACGTGGTATGGACAGATGGATAATTGCACATAAACATTCTAATGTCCCCCTCCCCTTATAAAGGAAACACTGAAAAAGGCACAGCCGGTACTTGAAAAAAGCTTGCTTCGACTTATTTCACTCGCTTCAGCCAGACCACGCAGACCCATTCGCTTTCTCATCGGACGATGCTACATCATCTTGTACACTCGAGGCGACACACGGACCCTATTTGATACAGTGACAGCACTTCATAGTCTGATTGCTGCTAATAAAAATATTGACAAGGAGACAAAAATGTAACGATTGATTTGTTTATGCCCTATTACTGCTGACATACTTTTTCTTAGTGCGGCTATTTCAACAACAGGAGCTATCATGGGAGCGACTGGATCGAAGGTATAACTGTTTTTATATTCGAATTTTTGTATTCATTGCCTTTTATTGTAGGTTCTGTCATTATTTGCCGAGACAGCCACCTTGTTTTTAAAAGTGATAAAGAATAGCAATGTAAGTAAAATGAGAGATACGAGAAAGATTCAGGATATAATGTGTATGTAGAATCCGCTCATTTTACGGCTCGAAACCATAGCTGCTTTTACTTTATTGCTGAAAGGTGCCGGTAAAGCAGCAACTGAATCCATCTTGAAAGATTTGATGAAACAACTAAGACATGGATTGGTTGATAAAGCCCTTGTGATGCGAGCTGCTTCAGCACAGGCAAGTCCCCTCCATAATCTTTATCTTTGTCATGCTAACAATGGCAAACTAGTGCTTGCAATCTGTTATTCAACACGCGTCTCAATCATTTACTCAAGTTGAAATTGAATCTCTCTTACAGCATTGCTTCAAGGCATTTGAAAACTCGACCTTTCCAGTCCGCCGATCTGTCTCGTCATTATGTGCAACGATTTTATTATTTACGCAAAGACCAGCTACAGTTGATCCAGCCAAACCAAACATCCGACACGCGGCAACAGGAGAAGAGACAGTGCCAACCAAAGCAGAAGATGCGGTCAGCAGCAAGAGCGTGACACTGATGTCAGTTGAAGACATGCTCTCTCAGATATCTGGGTGCTACAACCGACCCAACAGTTCACGTGAGCTCAGGACAGGGTTGATTGAGACTTATGCAACCTTGTTTATTTTGCTTGGAACGGAGTTTGTAGAGGCTAATTACGATACGATCACCAAACATATCTTGTGTGAAATATTGGATAAAGAACTATCAGCGTCTGATAGCGCGTACCTTCGAACCCAGGTGAACTTTCTTCTTCATCACACGATCAACAAGAAGCTCCTGAGTGAACATGGACAGGCATTTGCGATTAAAACACTGACAAATAGCTGGGTCAAAAAGTGGCCACCTCTGATGGCGAACCAGGTGGCTCCAAGTAAACAGATTTTGTTATGTGTGACCAACCTGATATCACAGCTCGTATCAGAACTCGAAGGAGCAGCAAGCTCAGTGCAAGTAAGAAAAGCATCATGAAATGAGAATGTACACTGAGCCCTTTTTTTGTTTTTTGTTTTTTTTTAGGAAGTCATTGTTGAACCTCTCTTCGTTTTGCTAAGTCATCCCAGTTTTGCGGTTCAGATGGCTGCTGTATGGTGCATTCGATGCTTTTGTAACGCATGTCCTTCTAATCTGCTAAAGCTTTTACCCAAAACGATGAACTTATTGGAAAAAGACTTGAGTAACTTGACCAACCCGGCAACGACGACCAAGACATTTCAACGAACGATTGCGTACGCGTACACTGCTGCTGCCATCTTGAGTGTCTTTCCTGCTCATCCCATATACACATCATTCGAATTGAGTGCGCGAGCCATGTCACTGTCAAGTCAACTGGTGAAACAAGTTCACAAGGACCCCAAGATTGCCAGTGTTCAAGTACAGGTCGCGTGGACCTTGATTGGTTCTGTGATGTGTCTGGGGCCAAACCTTGTCAAGATCCATCTACCGCAGCTGCTACTGCTCTGGAAGAGCGCGTTGCCGAAACCAAGCGGTAAAGAAGTCAATTCGATTCGATCCGAACCTGAGTGGTCCTTTCTGTTCCATACCCGTGAATGTGCGATCAGCTCGATCTACAGCTTTTTATTGCACAACAGTCAATCGCTCGTCACGCTTGATATCGCCAAACGTATCGCTGCATTACTCAACAACACGCTTGCATTCCTGGCCACAGCACCTGTCACGTTTGCAGTCACTACGCTTTCACCCTGTGTGCCCTACGAAACAAGATTGATTGACCAGTCTTACTGTCTTCGCCGACGCATCTTTCAATGCTTCATTACGCTCCGACCCCATCTGCCGACTTACGAGTCATCACTCAACAGTCTGCTGCGACACTCATTGACAGTGTTCATCGAGCTGGACAAAATCTCTGCCTCCTCACGTGCTCAACAGCAAGTCACTGCTACTGTGCCTGGACAGTTTGTGAGTGTTTGGAATATAGCAGACGGGCATGGATGTGGTGTGACGAGCAAGATGCGAGGATACCATGTCGAGATTGTCTCTGCTGTTGAAGACACCTATGAAGAAATCAACCGTGGGAAAGAGTGGATGACAAAGGACCGGTTTGAACGTGTTGAAGAGTTGCTAGAGCGGCCGATGATAGGTTCACTTGAGCTCGACCCATTTTATGCATACACACACCATGACGGCAATAAAAAAAAATCCTATATCCCTCAGCCTGTGTCGCCATCGACCTCGTACGTAGACGCGAGTATTGAGCTGTTTGCCACCTTATTCTGTAATCAGCCTACGCCTATTCAAGAGTCCACGTTTGAACTGATGGTCAAGGCCGTGAAGGACCCGAAACTCGAAAGAAACTCACCTCGTCGTGCGGCCCTCTTGGTCAATATCGTCGTTGCCTTAATTGGCGCTTTCAAGCATATGGCGGTCTTATCGAGAAAGAAGAAGGAGGTAATTGGGCTGAGCCCGAAAGCGACACAACTGCTTCAGGAAATCCTGATGGAAGTCGTCACTCATCCTGACCCTTATTTAAGAAATGTTGCATGTGAAGCGATTGGTCGTCTGACAAACATTGTGGGTGGCACGTTTGTTGCCTCACAGATGCAGATTCTAGTAGACCTTGTCGTCAGTAACCGAGATCCGGATGTTCGAGCAGGATGTGCATTGGCGATTGGATACATTTATAGTCATGTCGGCGGTATGGCTGCTGCAACACATCTGAAGACGATCGTTGGTATTCTGTTGTCGCTAAGCAGTGACCCGCATCCGGTGGTCCATGCTTGGGCGCTTGAAGCAATGGCTATGACGGTCAGTGCGGCCGGTTTGATGTTTTCGAGTTATGTCAATAGTACACTCAGCATGGTAGCCAAGTTATATCTTAGTGAGACACACGAGCCTGGAAGTGGGTCGATTGCGGTCAGTAACGCCGGCATGTCTGTTGGATTTACGGCATATCAAGAGTTTGGACGTATCATTTACGAGCTCATTGGCACCCTTGGTCCAGAACTGCAGGCTTCGCCCAAGGTGAGAGAGCTTTGCTTGAATATGGTCGAAGAACTCAAGTTGGAACCTGATGAAAGAGTCAATGTAGAAGCGATTCGATGTATTCAACATTTCTTGATGTTTGCGCCCAAGTATCTAAACGTTTATGATCTTGTTCCCTACCTCCAGCATCAAATCACGAGCCTTCATTTACCACTGAAACGCGCAGCAGTCACCTGTCTGTATCAATTAGTACAACGTGATTCAGAGCTTGTGTTTAAAGCAGCACAGCCTGGCCTTGATAGCGAGTTGTTCAAGATGCTTGACACCGATCCACAGCTTTCTGATGTCAAAAACGTTATCCGCAACTGGCTACAGGAAACGGCAGTAGCCGAACCTTCGATCTGGGTAAACATCACAAAGCGTATCGTGACAGGTACCACAGTTCCTACGTCAACAAAGTCGGACACACTGGACAATGATGCAGGTAAAAAGTCATTTGATGATGAAGAAGATGACGACGACGAATTTGGGGATGACGATGCAGATGGATTTGTGGATGAGGATAACGCAGATATCACTACCACTGTAGCGGATGCGTCTGGCTTGACGGCCAAACTCTCTGTCAATGTCGAGATCCCTCCTCGTTGGCGCACACAACTCTTTGCACTTGAATGTCTTCAGCAGACAATCGAGCTCGTGGCTGCAAGCGGTATTCGCGAACACTTTGATCTCATATTGGCACGTCGTCGTCGACAGCAGGCAGGGCTAGGCGACTACCTCGTCTTTCGTGTGCCTGATCTCATTCGACTTTCGTTTACAGCTGCAACTGCTCATGTCAATGAGCTCAGACTAGCAGGCATTCATCTGTTACGACTCGTGATTGAAAAATTTGCTACGACTGCCGATGCTGATCTGGAAGATATGTTGCTCCTTGAACAGTACTCTGCACAAATTGGCGCTGCACTGACACCTGCCTTTGGTGTTGACTCATCTTCAGAAATCGTTGCAGCTGCAGTAAAAGTATGTGCTATCTATGTAGGTAGTGGTATTGTCAAGGACCTGTATCAACTGGGTCGTGTGCTAAAGCTCTTGACATCTGCGCTGGATCGCTGTAAAGGAGAAACAAAATTAACAGGCGTAGGAGAGGTCAAAGACTTGAGTTCTCATGCTTCGGTTATGGTCAAATTGGCCGTCTTGAATGCTTGGGCCGAACTTCAAGTCGCAAGCCAAAAACAAGGTTATCTCAAGCAGATACTGCAGCCCAACTTGAGCGTCCTGTCGTCCATGTGGCTCCGTTCCCTACAGGATTATGCGCGCATCCGTTTAGAATCAGATATTGTCGCGCTGTCAAATCGTAGTGAACGTATTCAAACGGCATCGAATAGCAGCATTGATTCAATGTATTCAGCTGCTACAAAAGACGTCGTGCTACCGTATTACCGTCGCTCATGGCTCAAGATTATGGAAGCAGTGGCAACCCTAGTTGAAACGCAAACACCGGCCATGCTTGAAGCGATAGCAAATAATCCTGACTCAAAAGCGGATGGACAGGCGTCTAATCTGTTTTATATTCTGTTTGGGCTCTGTATCGAGAGTTTGTCACGCGCGTCCAGCAGCAGCAAAACCGATTCGACAACCATTCCTACCTGTCTGCGTGCCCTCCGTACCTTCATTCAGCCTTCTCTTGCGGGTAATCAGTTTGTGCCAAAAGCAGTCTTTTTGGAGCTGATGAATGTATTTGATCGTCTCATTCGAACAGAGAGCTACAAGATTCAAATGATCATTGTTGAAACCGTTCAGCGGCTAGTTCAGAATTATGGTGCCTCGTATCTGTGCGATGACCTGGAGAATGTTTCTTCTGAATCCAATGCGTTTCCAATCACATCAAAGATGTATTATATTTTGAGAGTCCTCATCAACGTCTTTCTTCAATATGTTCCTGGGCTATCAACCAAGCGAACGTCATTGCCGCCCTCTGACGCTTCGGATAACTTAGCTATACTGCTTAGCTTTTCGCTTGATTCATTTGCTCAGTTGGTAGGAATCACGCCTAGGCAATACAAGGTTGATCTCCTGGCTGTCTGTCTACGGGTGTTCTCGGATATCTTTACAAACGAGAGATTCATACAGACCCTAGCGCCCCGTGCGCTCGTGTCATTAAAGACTGCCGTTTTCAACTTTGAATCAGACCTGTCGCCCACAGATGTTGTATATTTATCAAAGATTATTACAGCAACAACGTATACGCTCTTGGGAGACTTTTCTTCGTATGTCCATTGTCTTTATAAAGAGTACACAAACTGATTTGCTTATAGGCTACAATATGAAAAGGAAGAACTGACAACTGCTTCACAAAAGAATAGGTTATTAGCTACAGTACTGGTGATGACAGGTTGTCCTCAAGCCACTTTACATTCGACAGAATCAAGAGCTCAGCTTATCAAAGTGCTTAAAATGTGCTTACCGTCTAACAATGCCGAGGTAGATACAATGTTTAATCATTTTTAACTCATTTTACTTATATATAACAGCTATCTGCAACAGCTCATCAGTGTGTCCGTAACTTTATCTCGCTTCCTGAAAAGAGGAATATCCTGTCACTGGCTACTCTAGGACAGGTCATGGCTAGCTCTTTATTATCTTTTACTATCACTCGCATTGTAGCAGCCAAACATACCGATGACACGCTTCCTGCGCTAAATGAAAATATCAAGACTTTGCTGACACTTCTGAACAGTGTTCAAGAAGAACAACGTAAGAAAGGACACCCTATTTTGGGAAAAAAGATGCTAACTCCCCTCATCTATTGACAGAATATTCTGTTCTTTGCATTATTTTACCCACACTAACCATCTTACTGGATGATCCTCCATACAATGGAACCGAATCCAAGGCTCATGATGCATCATTGACGCATCTACTCTCGATTGCTACCAATATGCCTGCAGTATTCCGTGAGACCGTATTAAATCTACCTCATCATATTCGCACCAAACTTGAATCGGCTATGCGATACAGTATATTAGAAAAACAAAAGCAGCAACAAGAACAACAGCAGCAAATAAAAGAAGAGCAACAGCGTAGAGCAATGAATGAAGATCATAAGCAACCAACGATTGCGCTTAAAATGGACTTTAGTCATTTTGGATAATGATGTGTACATAACATACAGAGTTAATTAGAATTTGATAACGTATTTACCTTAAATAAAAATGGGTGTATCCAAAGAATTCTACTTCCACTTTTTTTTTCCCTTTTGAATAACGAGGAGTACTATCTTTTTGCTATCCAAAATATACTTGCAAATATTGGCTCTTTATATACAAGTAGAGATGAGTAAATTCGGATAATACTGTCTCAGTTTTGACATACTAGAACAAGTTACACATACTGTATGTGCTATTCTCAATGACCATTCTCGAATGCCTCCCTTTCACAGAGGCAGCTACTCAAAACATGGCCTCTGAAGTTTGTTGCTACAGTATACAATGCTCCCTTGTCAATGTGGTCCCTTTTTCTACCCTCTATGTTATACACTTGTTTCCTATCGTTTGATCGTTTTTAACATTCTTAAAAAAAAAAAAAAACTAATATTTAGACAACGTAATGCGATATTGGTTCACTTATCTAAGCAAACTCCTAACAAAGGTCAGACGTTTTCTTTCTATATGTGCTTCAGTATCAACGCTAAAGGGTGACCTTTTCTTAAAGCAGTTGTCGCATCTGCTTTCTTGCATCTATTTAATTACTTATATACAAATATGCATATCTCTACCAGCTTTAACAAAAATGCAGTAATGAAGTAGGTATAGAGTTAATTTTACAATGAAATAAGCAAAGAAGCACCATCTATTTCAGTCCCCTCATTGAAATACATGAGCCTAGAGGCATATTCACCTAATAGTACTTTTTTTTTTCTATTGAAGCGTAAAGCAGTGAGAGTAGCCATTTTTTCTAAATGAGAAAATTCAAACACCAATACTGAAATAGATCAATCACTCTAGCAAATAAGACAAGTTGTGCGTCATTATCACCCATTCGAGACGCTTGTGTAAAAAGACTGGTCTCTGACCAAGCTGACTGAGAGAGTATTTATAAATACATAACGTAATTATTATTACATGATATGTCTGACGACCTAAGCCCTGTTCATGTTACAAACCGGTGTTTGTAAATGTGTGCAAACGGACTCTTTCCCCTTTAGCCGTGGATAAATAAGGTAACACAATGTCCAACTCGGATTTCCTCAATTGGTGAGGTTAGGCCAAGTAACGATTTCTGTCAACAGAAATGTTTGTGTTAATGAATGTTGTCTTGACACAAATGATTATTACCGTGTAACTGTCACAAAAAGACAAGGAAATAGAGCGGGATGGCATGATGAAGTTTACTTTGTATACAAGGAAATAAATTGCGAATCAGGCGTTTTATTGTTCTTGGCAGTGTATTGCTCATTTCCTTCTGTGGCAAGTTTTACAATGTAGGTTTTGTAAACGGTCTGAAGTTAAGCTTTATTGTAGTAGTTTTTTTTTTTTAAATCAAAGAAAAGACCTGCTCAAGTTTCGAAACAGTACAGAGCTAAGAGTCAAAAAGACACTATAAGGAATCCTGTAAGATGATAAATAGCTTAAAGAAACAAAAGAATAGCAGTAGAATGGGGATTTAAAGTGTGTACGTGATGAAGGATGTACGTGATTGACAATGGGGGATAAATTACGCAGCAAAATATATTCAAGGAAATCATATTTACGGTTGTGGAGTCTTTAATATTTCAAAAAAAAAAAACCTTGGAGAGCTGCATTCAAGTAGATAGCAATCCATAGCTCTTAAAGACTATGTATTGTTATTTCAAATAGTCAGACATATGCTACGATGTTTTATAAAATAAACGGTTCCTTCATTAATCCTCAATAGAATAAGGTGAATACTACATACACCAGAAAATGCACCAGAAAATAGGCTAATGCTACGGGCGCTTCCTTGGGGCGCTACTTATGCTGTCACTTTACAGCTTCACGCTACCAAAGTCTCTAACTAACCTAAGACTTTCCAGTGGAATATCCTTTGATATAAAATTACTCTTGAATGACTTTGGTTCTTTGTTGATCAAACCGACAGCATAAAAATATTAAAATACAGCAATAACCACATTTTATCTCTTTCTTTTTCATATTCTATACCAAGGAACATGGCAATATGTCTGTTTCTGAGCAAGTTCAGCTTGATGCTGCACATTCAAAAGGTTTGTTGACGACACCACAGGTAGCGTTTGTAACACTAACCCTCTCGTGGATTTCCTCGCGCGCGTAGTGTACATCAACTCTTTGCATAATAAAAGACATGGTGAAGTCTGGCATCGTATGTATGTACATTCAAATGTGTGGAACAAGAATTTCTTGGACGACGACGAACTCGAAATCAAGCGTTCTGAATGTGTGAGTCAGGCTATGAAAGTTTTGAAGGAAACCAGAAAAGACGTTAAATTGCAAACATTTGATTTTATACTTCGCAACCTTAACACAGATAATGATGTCGTAGCAGTAGAGGAAAAGTCATCTTTGAAAGATGTGAAAGTTGATATCAAAAAAGGAGAATTATTGAAGAAGCATGCGTTGTATCTTTGGTCAGAGCAAGTAAAAAGCAATATCCTCATGGAATAGTTAGAAGCCAGATCCTGTCAATGGCACGGCACCAAGTTTACTATATATGGGTCTCGTCTACTGTCTTTTGATGAAATTTTTGCTTATAAGAAAAGAGTATTTAGCTTTCCAATCTCTGCAAAGCATCTTTCTGAGTTCGCAAAGCTGCTGATGGCGAGACTCTCGTTAAAGCGAATAGTCAAGCTCAAGCTTTCAAAATTATTTGACAAATGCAAAAGTTCTCGAATGGAAATACGAAGGGACAATAAAGCAGTTACTTGTTCTTGGTTTTCTTTCTACTGGTAAAACCGCTGATTTGAAAAAACTTGGTTCAATTTACACTATCCTCAGAGGCTGAAAACGAGAAAATCGCAAATGTCATTGAAAGTATAGAGTTCTTATCTACAACAGCGCTAATCAAGAAGATCCTGAGAGAAAATAAATGGCAAAACAAGTATCAGCAATCCTTAGAGAATAAAGTCATCAATGCTACTGCTACGCAAGAAGAATCTTGGGAGGCCAAGAAAAAAACTGCTGAAGAAGACTTTGGAAAACTATTTGTAATATACTTCATAACTTGTTACTATAAATCTACAAATAAAAAGCGCGGCTCCATCTATTTGGCCTAAATATTTGTTAAATCGCTTTGAAATGTCTGCTTTTTGAAGGTCTAAGACTCCATCCTCACCATAAAACGTAACAAGATGAGCAAATTTTTCTGTTACAGACTATGAAGAAAATGTGTTCCATATCAACAAGCGATTGGAAATACCCTTCCTCTTCATGGCCTTTGCTTGAAAGCGCAGAGTAGTAGTCAACATGCCGAAACAAGTACAATAGAGGCTTTCTTGACAGAATGCATGGTAACAGCAACCCTTCTCAACATTAATAAGCCTCTCATCAAAAAGTAGTTATTATACATTGCCACCTTGCTGCAGACCAAAATTACTAAGGCCTTGGGGGAGGGCATCTTATCCTATTAATTAGTGTACCGTGTATATACGTGCCGTTTACTTTTATAAAAGAAACAAGACGATTACAATTATAACTTCCAAGTACGATCTATCAAGCCAACCACAGTAGCCAATACTGTCAAACAAGCTCCATGTAACAGGCTGGAATCAACACACATATATGTGGACTACACGAACTTTAATCAACATCAAGTATAAAACCTGTTCAAATGGATCATAATACAGTTGATGTTCAGTAGACGCTTTGGGACGATTTAATGAATACAGCATACAATTTTTTTTCTCATTCTCAAAACGGTGCCACGATTTGCAAACTACAATGTGTGTATGTGGGTCCTTTGGGGAAAAAAAAGGTATCCATCAAAATACAGTTTTTTTTTTTTCTAAATTAATATTGCATCATTCAAACATTTATAATACAAAATATGACATCTTGGAAAGTATTACTTTCTGGAAATAGTGTAATTCAAAGATATTATCATCATTCTCCTCTCTCTTTTGAACTAGGTGTCCCAATAAGGAATACAACAACGGGGAAATGTAATATTGTCTGTGATCCCAGGACGAACAGGGCTTCATTATGTAAAAAAAAAAATCACAAAGTTTATCGAATTATGGCCCAGAACCATATGTGTCTGTGTGTTGATGTGGGGTTACAAGTGATAAATAAAGAAACTGAAATTTCTAAGAACATGAGAAAAGATACTATGGCTAAATAATTACACGGCAAGAGAAGCAGCGTTTAATTTTTGAATCAACCAAACAAAAAAAAAGATGAGAGGAGGATTATGAGAAAAAGACTATACAAAGAAAAGAGAGAATACGCATCCCTCCCTTTTTTTTTCTTTACAATTATCCAACATGACTACTACAACAACATCCAATACCACGCCTGTCAAATTGAACTCCATTTTAAAGCTCTCTCTTTGTAATGAACAAGGTAAATGTCTCTTGTGTTAACCTTGAACCACAGACTGATTTTTACTGTAGTACGATACAAGGGGAGTAAGCGCATTTACAATGATTGGCTACTTGAAAGAGTCGTTCAATTTATCCATACTCTCGACCTTCCTACACATCAACAACGCTCTGTTTATGCTGGTCGTGTTCAAAGATCTCGCCCACCCTCGTCGATTCGAATAAAAAGAAATTCTCCGGTCAGTGGCCGTTAAACAATGAGATCTACAAATAAATAAACCAGCTTTATCACAAGGGATGACCATGGCGGAGATTTTTTATTTTGCAGTTATTGGTGCCTGTCTCTCATAGCAGCACGGCTTATTCTAAAAAGAGAACATATTTTATCGCGATAATCGTACTCCTTTTTCCCGACCAATCATCGCTTGTCCAAAACATAATCTACTTGGAAAACATGTAAAAGAGTAGAGTCAGGCACGGTTGTAGGTCTTTGTGGTTAGATATGAGCATGTTGCTTATGATTTCTTACCTGTCTTTATTCAGAAATACGCGTATACATACATATATATATTTGTACGTCATCTCTACTCACTCATTATGCCGTCATGGCACGACACACACACATGAATGACAGGTAAACGATCTATCACTTATTGAAACTATGTTCCCTCTTTGCATTTAACCATCTATATTTTTTGATAATGATCAATGTCCGCCGAAACCAGTGTGTGTGTTTGAATCTGTTGAGATCTAAACAGTAGATCGAGGGAGGATAAAACATGTACAATCTATTTTTGGAATGCAGGCAAGGGATTTCTGGATTGTGTGTGTGACGCTGATTTATTTATTTTTTCACTTGCTTTGTCATTTATTTATAGTTATTAAAAGAGCGACATTTGGCCATGATGTTTCCTCCTCTTGTGTGTCTATGTGACCCCAGGGTTGTATTAGAAAGAAAGAAAGAGAGGGAGAGAACAAGATGCATAAGAAGGAGTTTCAAGTAGATAAGCTATTACCATGCTGTGTGACACTTTCCCTTTTTTTTGTAAGTTTAGTAATATGCCCTAGGCCAAAGTATACCATAAAAAAGTACGACAATAGAAATTTTGCATATTCCCTCTTTATTATAGAGAAACCTAGTCTTAGGCAACCTTATAAAGTAAAATGACAGGAGTATTATGTGTACATTGTATTATTGCGTTTTTTATAGTAAAAAGGAGAGCGGGCGTAAGACAGAATTATAGATGCGTGAAAAATATGAAATATGTGTGTGGTGCGTAAGGTACATAAAATCTACAAAATAATTTTTTTTTTTTGGTTCTTTTTTTAAAAGCCTTGACTGTCATGCAGCAGATTCTGTCATGGTCCATTGACGAGTTTTTTCATTCTTTTTTGACTTTGACATAAGAGGGCTTCATTAAGCAAGAGTTGGTATTGGTGTCTGAATGATGGTTGTTGCTATGAAAATAAAATGGTTGAGATAACTTTGGGAGTTCGTACATTGATGGAGGTGGCTGGGTATAGCAATTGGGTTGAAGAGAAGTTGTACACATTGTATTTATGTAACCACCTGAAGGGCGTTGAACAATGTTCGGTTTCACTGCGTGTTGCTCTGTGATACTGAGAGCGCTCTCGAGCTGCTGTATACGCAATTGCTGCTCTTGTATTTTTAATCGAGCGGCGTTCAGTTGCTCATCATAATAACCGTGCATTTGCTGGCACTGTCGTTTGACGTGATAGAGCTGTAATCGAAGCTCTTGTTTGGTGATTGATTCTATGTTGGGTTCATCAGGATGACTATGTATGTCTGCTTCCTTGTCGTCGACCGCCTCTGTCGCTGGCTCTTGTTGTTCTATAGGTTGTTCCATGAGAGGTATATGCATCAAGGCGCTTGATGTATTTGCAGCCGGAGGCTCATAAGTCAGTTGCAGCTGGGACGGAGGAGGGTAATACTCTGGCAGACGCACGGACGAGGCCGAAGAAGATGAGCGGCGGTTATTGTTGTTATTGCTCTTGACTGTCTGTGCGTCCTCCTCAAACGCTGACTCGTCATCTCCTTCGATATTCAAGATGGTCTCGGGATCTTCTTCTTGCTTGGCTCGCTTTCTTCTTGTATATCGAGTCGCTTTTCTTCGAATCAGATGAAACAGATCACGACGACCGGGTCGAAAGTAGGGATGATACCACCGACATGATTCCCTGTCTTTGCTGTCTTTTGATTTTCTTGCGTCGGTATCTCTTTGGAAACCATAGATCTGAGATTGGAAAGGTTAGTTTAACAAGTTCCTTTAATGTATATGACACTTTACATTTAATTGGCGTACAAATGAAGGAAATTTACAGTGTTTAAAAAGACGTGGTAGTACGGTCTCGGTAAACTCTACAAAATGTTTTAAGTAAATACGTATAGCATCGTGTATATATATATATATTATTACCTGGAATGCACTCAATAATAAACATGTCTCTTCCTTGATGTTTACACCATCGAGCATATTTTTGGTCACTTTCTGGTGCTTGAAGACATCTATATAGGATAATCAAATATGAGTCTCCTTAATAAAAAAAATAAAGAGCTCTCTCTTACTGGTATAGTTTTGATACGAATCCAGCAATACCACGTTGAGATTGAGTATCCTTACAAGGAGAAGAAGGAAAGGGAGGAGGTACGATATCCAGATTATAATCATGAACATGTTGCATCAATTCCATATCGTTATTTGTTTCATTCATTGGAGCTGTATGGAATATCATGGGAGTAAATTCTGATCTGGTGTTGTCTGTGAATAACTGGTAAGGATGATAGTCATTTGAACTAGTAGACAAGGTAGCATTCTCTGGTATATTTTCATAATCGTTTGTATAATTCATTCTATCTCTATTTTTTTTTTTTTTAAAAAAAAAAAGAGAGAAAGAAAGAAAGAAAGAAAAAGGAGGGAGAGGGGGGAGGATAAACTTTTTATATTCAGCAAACGCACATACACACGCACACACACTTACACATTTATACTTTAGGGGAATTTATCAGTGTACAAAAGACCAATTGCGGTTCCGAGAGTTTATACATTTTTAGACAAAGAATCTAGTCTATATCTTTTTGCTACAACCATTCAAACAGTTTTATATTAATTTAGTAATACTTTCTATACTTGGCTTGTTACATCCTGTTTAAACTGCCCCTTCAGTTATTTTTTTTTGAAGGCAAAAAGGGGAAGACATTGATTTAATTTCCCATTTTATGATAAACATGTCTTGACTCCTCTCTCTTTTTGTCGGCGATATTTAAATGTCGCCGAGAGAGAGAAAGGATGGATAAATCATACAATCACCTTTTATAAAGAGGGACATTTCTTGCAAATTTTCCAGTTACATTCCGTAAAAGAGAGTGACCTGAGCATTTTTTAAAAGTGCGAATATCGCTTTTTGAAATATATTTATCTCTCTCTTTCTCTCTCTTGTTGACGTGTCAATATCACATCTAAGCTCTCTTCTCGATCTTTCTTCTTCTTCTTTTTTTTTTTCTCCTGTCTCTCAGAATGATCATGTATAAATAGGGGAGATAGGCGCATGGCGAAAATGAGGAGAGGAGCGGTGAAGGAGGATGAAGCATAAAGACTGTGATGGATTGTGTCTTTATGTTTACATAACGCTTTATTCATGTCTACTTGTCAATCAATAGTGATGGGCATAAAAAAGTAGCTGCTTGTCTCTGTTTTACTAAAAAATAATTGTATGATCCTGATTTTTTTTAAAGAGAGAAAAGGTGTGACTATTGCTTGTCTCTTTCTGTCGTCTCTTTTTTCTCTTTTTCATAAATAAGAAATGGTATATAAATGAACACATCCTAATGACAATAGCTTACCACGCTTTATAATAGTTGTTTTATTCCTTTTTTAAAACACTGGTTGACCAAAAAGTAACTGTAGAATTAAAGAACGATTTGGCCATCACTGGCACGTTAAAATCAGTAGATCAGTTTTTAAATATCAAGCTGGACAATATTCATGTCGTCGATGAAGAAAGATATCCACACATGGTAACGTTATTACAATTCCTTATTTCTAATTCTAAGCATTATATACAGGCTTGTGTCAAGAACTGTTTTATCAGAGGATCCGTCGTTCGATATGTCCAACTTCCTGCTCAAGCAGTTGATACAGCTCTCTTACAAGACGCAGCCAGAAGAGAAGCAGCTCAGCCATCCACTGCTCAACAAGCTAATGTAAAAGTAAAATAAAAATGTGTATACATTCTTTTTGCGTGTGTAAACATATTCACACACACGCAAAAGAAAAAGAGAACAAGATCACGCACGCACACACACATATTTTCCATTCCTTTCTTTTTTTTTTCCTTTTTTTT